TTTTTTTTTTCAGTTTTGAGGAAGCCAACTTCTCCTTTCCGTGAAAAATCACATCCTACATAAATAAGTACGAACAGATCTCATCAATTGTTAAGTCGTGACCTGCAGTAAGAGATACATAAGCTGTAAAAGACAACAGAAGAGAAGCAAGGGAGGAAGAAAGGAAGACAGATAGAGACAGAAAGGGAGAGAGGGAGAGAGGGAGAGAGGGAGAGAGGGAGAGAGGGAGAGAGAGAGAGAGAGAGAGAGAGCAAGAGGCATGGGACCGGAATCCATGTTGACTTCCATTCAGGAGGAAGATATCTTGTCTTTTTATGCGCCCCATGTCATATTTATTGCATAAAGGTCAGAGTGTTCATTTGTTCAAAGTCAGCGTTTTCCCTCTCTCCTCTCCTCCATGTAATAAATGCAGGGGCTATGTCATTATCGGACCTCTGAGGATTACAGGCTTGGCTGACTGTGATGACTGCATAAAAGCACACAGGACTTTTGTTTCTGCCAGCGCACCTTCAAATGAGCTCTTAAAGCGAACAGTAGCGGAGACAAAATGGCATTTTGTAGGGAGACAGAGAAGACAGTTAGCGCGGGGGGAGAGGGGGGCAATGGATTTGACAGGGTTGGTTAAAGGTCAGAGATCGCTGTGCTTAATCCATGAACTTGGTTTTTTACATCAGCAAAGGAGGGTAGGGTTTTAGATAGGAGGGTAAAAATACTGGAAAAATGAAAAGGACAAACAGAAAAGGACTTGAAAAGATTCCTCTAATTCACATATTGACTGAAGGCTGGAGCTGTCGAGAAGATAATACTGCAGGAAGGACATCAGAGTGAGTCACTTTGAAGGTGTTTGGATTGTCTTTGCCTATTGACTCCAGTGGACCAGGTCTATCTATTGACAATAGATTAAAATGGACTCTACCATAGATGGGGTATTTGGGCGTGAATCACTCCCATTCCATGGAGCGGATCATTTCTACTGTATACCCGTGCTAATCTTCCTGACCCGCTAATCATCAAGCCGTTCATTTCCCACTCTTTGTTTAGTTCTGCCTTTGTTTAGCGTTTATTAATTCATTAGAGCAACTTCTCATGCGGCTTAACTTAGACGTTGACTGGGGAGCCCTGTTTTCACCCGATAGCGATGTGCACCGCAGACAAACACGCCACCAAACATCACAGTACACACGCCAATTACATATTGATAATTAAGCATTCAAACAAACAAACAGAGAGGAAATCCTCCCCATAATCACAGCAGGTTTTTAATGAAGCCAGTATTAGCTTGGTGTGCTCGGACAGATAGCCTTGCGTTTAGATCTTAGCTTCACTGGATTTGGAAGAGGAGAGCGAGAGACAGAGAGGGAGAGAGAGGGAGAAGTCAGTGCCATTGCCTGCCACTGCAATACCACAGGGAGCAGCTATGCCATTCTGTTACTGCTGAATGAGCGTGGACGCCGGTTGGCGCTAATCCAGACTGGATGAACTGAGCTGCCTTTAAAAGAAGATGAAAGAACCAAGGAGGGAATGTGGGAATGAGGAGGAAGTTCTTAGACAACACTCTAGAAAAAAAAAAGGTTTTTTTAACATTAACAACACATTAACACTACTTTATTTCTGCATATGGAAATAAACTCACATGACGTTCACACAGCAGAGGGAATACAATACAAAGTTATGATACGGGACAAAAACATGTGGAAGAGTTATAAAACTAAATACTTTAAAAAAAAAAAAAAGCACTTAGCAGAATGATATAAAGTATAGAGACTAACGCATCAGAACTACAGTAGACCCCAGGACTGATTAATATTTTGAGCTAAATGTACAATTCCTCTCTTACTATGTCAAAATGCATTGCTTTAAGTTAAAGAACGTAGGCAACACTTTAAACTACAGAAATCCAACGTAGTGGAAGCATATGAAGGTTGTCCTGAAACAAAGTCAGGCTCAGGAGAACTTGCTCCTCTTGTAGAAGCTCAAAAAATGGATGCAAATCCAATGTAAGGTTCGGTTCCACAGTTATAAAAATACTTAAAAGGGCTTGATGAGGAGCAACGTGGTAAATGTGTGGAAATGTGTTTTGATAACATTATTCCTAACACTGTGCGAATTAATAACACTTCATTTACAGGCGGAAGAAAGCCAGCATGGTATTTCCAGTTAAAGAGATTAATTTTTAAACACCTAATTGACAAGCTGGGGTTAGGCAGGATAAGCAACAGACTATACGGCAGCAGCAGCAGCAGCTGCAAAGTCAAGGTGACTGGAAAACTCTGAGAAAGGCTTTTTAGAACGCAGAATAGAGAGCGGGGAGAGGGAGGGAGTGAAGAGAATTAGTCCTCAAGCACTTTTCCCTCCCGCCCCTATTCTTTCTCTCTTTATTAGGAATGATTTACTTTCTCAGTGAAAGGATATAAAAGCTCAAGTATAGCCGAGTAATTATCGCAGAGTGAAAATTTAAAGGTTTGACTCACAATGTCCTCAAGTCAGCGAGCAGACTGCCAGACGATAAGAGTGAGTGTGTTCAACACTCGGCAACCAATTGGTTGTGTTTTATGGGCTTTGCCAAGGAAGAGCACACAAACAGCACTCGGCTCTGCAAGTCTGTAAACATGATGGACTGTGGCAAACTACCAGGGCTGGTGTTTACCTTGGCAGAGGCTGGCCCTGGCATGTAAGCAGCATCACTTAATTACTGTTTACATGTAAATATTAAATTATACAAACATTCAGCAAGGAATGTCTTTTCCTTCGAAAAAAGAGAAAAAAAAAAGAAAAAAGAAGAGAAACACGGCGTCAGGGTCAACCTTATCTGTCCGCAACAGTTGCCGCTGCGAAGATAGGAATTGTTTTGAATCACAAATTTTTTCCCGCATTGTACCTAATCTTCATAATTGTTTAATACTGTTGTCCAAGGGCATTGGGGTAAATACGCGGGTGTCATCTGCATAATAGCAGATGCTCAGATATGTAAAGCACACCTCGTGTTCTCGGACAGAAGGAGAGGAGGAAAAAAGGAAAGACACAAAAATAAGGTTTTATCAGGAGAAGGCCTGTGATCATTAGGACAACCAGCGTCAGGACCAATAGATGGCTGCTTTGATTACAGACCTGTTTCCTCAGCGATGGGAGTTGCATATACAGCAGAGCACCGGTGCCTACTGTGCATCTAGGGTACGGCTGAGTAAAGCACTTGTTCATTTGCAGTGAAGGGTAACATGAAACAGGCCTCAGCCTTCTGATGGACAGGGAGATTTCACCTTCGCCAGTGAATGATAATGCATTATTAAATTTGCCTCTCTGCTCACTAGATACACTTAGCTGACCACAGCATATTTATCTCCCCATCCGAGGCTCACGTCTTGGCAGGAGAAAGCATTCTGTCACTTTTGAGGCATTTCAAAGATTAAAAAGAACCTCTCTCTTTTCAACGTCCCTAAAAGCATCCCTTCTTTTTTTCCCAGCGAAATGTGATTAGCAGGAGATGGTGTCACGCAATGGAACATTCATGAGGGGGGGAGAACAAATATCCAAATGAACTCTCCCATGTCCTCGAGGAATAGCCGCTCTCTGCACCATCAGCAATCTCACTCACACAGGCTAAAGGGAGGGAAATTTGATTGATCCTCTATTGAATTATTTTTTTGCACTCTTTCATTTCAACGGGACGCACTGACAAGTTGTTTGATCATAAAGCATTATTGTCTGCCAAGTCACATTTCAGGGTTGTGATGGCTAATGATCTTGCCTCCTGACTTGGTTGGAAAAGTCAGGTAGTCAGCATGTGTTTGAAGCTGGCAAAAGCCAAGGACACGGAGAGGACTGAACAAAAACACAAGGCATTAATGTCAGGAAGATGAAGAGAAGACGCTTACGTGGAATGTATCGGAACTTTTTAATGATACTGTATGCAGATACCATCAATGTCAGTGAAATATTTACAACGCACAAAGGAGCGGAGCGAACTGACTCCGAAACTTTGGTCCGACCCCAGAGTCCCTGAAGTTCCTTTTTTATGATTGCAAATGCTAATGTGGGAAGGGACGAGAACAAAGACTACAAAGGGTAGAAACCACCCTTTCTCTGCAATTTTTTTTAAAATCTTCTTTAAAAAGTCCATGTGGGCGCCCTTTCTCTGCAATTTCTTTTTTTTAAATCTTCTTTAAAAAGTCCATGTGGGCCACTTTATTTTGATCAAATCTTTGTCAATATATCATATTAGCCAAACATGTCAGGAAATTAATCAATGTGGGGGAAAGATATTGTCAGGACAAGATGCAGATTAAACTGTGCATCAAAATGGGTAATTAAGATGAATTATTTCTAGAGTTTGCCAATAATGGTAAATAAAAACCCATCAAATTAGTTGCAATTTATGGGAGTTTATAAAGAGGCAACTAACAATAACAAAATACGTAAAAGAAGAGACAAAAACTTTGACGCCTAAAAGAAATAATCTCTCAGAATTCTAGACAATAAGCCATGTCTCAGAACAAGTATTAGATTTAATATACTGCCATGTACAGATTTTACTCCCACACCGTACATTTAGAATGTGGTGCTACAGGAAACTGTGCAGCCAGAATATCTGCAGCCGCTGCACGATGCTTACTTGTTAACGTGGACCAAAATCTCTCTGAAAAGCTTTCAGCAAAAGATGATCCAATGTTTCAAAGATGTACCTAATAAAGTGGCCATTAGGGGTACATGCCGATGGACAGCATCCCGGCTAAGACAAGGCGTGGCAAAATGTCTCTGTCTATTGTGGTCACACTGGCAGCGCAGCTCATCAGTGATTGGGAGGAGAGCAGGTAGTAGAGAATGTATCTGGAGGTGACATAATACACCACAACCTTCCATTTGTGCTGGGGATACAAAGACATTACAAGTGCATCTCCTGTTGTGTCAACAAGGATATATGATGTTTACGGGGAAGTGCCAATATCATATTACCAGTGATTCACTCGCTTTTAAAATATGGTTTACAGAATCAGTTTACATACCGTAGCTGTCTCTGAGCTCTCCTGTCAGACCTTCTAGCTGGGTGTAAAAGAGATGTGGCAGGCGTAACTGAAGGGAGCCGGCTGGAGAAGAGTGGAAAAATTTGTTGTTGGAAAAATGATTTCACCCCACAAGTCTGGTTCAGGGACCAAATGTGATACTTGGACAGGATTTTGAGGCCCAAAGTTTTGTAATAACTGTAATAATGTGACTTTTCATTGGTGTATTGGTAAAATACGCTCTAAGCTATTAGCTAATGATGTTTCATTTGGTTAAAATGCATTAATCTAGAAGCAATTCTGCAATTAGTTTGGGCTTCCTGTGAGCCAAATATACTTAACTAAATACCTAACTATTTGAGCCAACAGTTTTGCTTTCTATTGGTAAATACAAGATACAATGGTGCGTTGTGGGAGTGGGCTAACTAAAAATAGCTTTTAGCAAGAATTTGGCTATCTTGTCAAATATTTGGCTTCAAAACTACAGTAAAGTTATCTTTTGGCCAATATATACTGTAATATAGTTTGATATTTTGACAATATACAAAGTCTTTTAAGAAGACTTACTTTAGTAGAAAAATGAACCTAGATTTTTTTTTTGCATTACTGTTTTTTATATATATTTCCGTGTTGTGATCAATTTAAAAGATGAGCTAAAATTGTTGACTAATCTGTCTAGGATTTAATCACATTTTGAACAACCAAACAACAGCATACGTCATGATACAAACGTTGAAAATCATTTTAGCGCAGGTAAAGCAGCAGCATCTTTACATCTATCCAATCTAGGCCACAGATTTGTACGTTACAGCCGTCTCTGACTCTGCTGTCAGACATTTTGTTTTGGCCTAAACAGAAGTGGCATTTAAAACTGCACTGAGCAGCCGGAGCTAAAGTGGTGAAATTCGTTGTTGGCAAAATGCTTCAACTGCCACATGGCATTTAAAGAAAGTCCTACACATCTGTGTTTCCAACATTCATTCCCCAAGGAAAAAAAAAGTGGAGATAAAAAAAAAAAAAAAAAATGTCAAAGTGTTTGATGTCCAAAGTGAGTTTACAGCCAAAGGCTTCCGTACCTTTTTGATGTCCAAAGTCAGTTTACAGCCAAAGGCTTCCGTACCTTTTTAAAATTTGTCAGCTACCTGCTGTTTCACGAGACAGATGCTTGTCGCAAGCCATCGCCACAGACTCTGTGTTTGAAGCAATTCAATTAGACACGTGAGATAACACTTAGCTTTGTACTCGCCTTTCTTCCCTCTAATCTCCCTTTTTTTCCTCTGACAGATTTAGACAAACAAATAATCGAGTTCAAACAACATCACTTTCAACACTGAAAAAAAAAGTGCCATCTGGATTTGAGGTGCCAGGTGACAAAACAAATTATGAATGTTTTATTTTTCCAAAATAATTAGTGTCCAAATATTGGGATCATCCCAATATTTGGGTCTATATATTGGGTGTATATTCTGTATATATATACACCTATATATCTGTAAATTTCATATCTAAATATTAAACATAATAAATGAGAGTGGATTTGTTAAAACCAGATGTAGATTACTTCAGTGTGGTTCAGGGGCCGATCTCAGCACTTGGACAGGTTTAATTTGCTAAAAAGGAGACTAGGATAGAACATCCCATAAAAATATATATGCTGGATAACTTTACGCCCACTTCAGCTACAATACTTACTAGCTATTAATAACAATAAATAAATAATTTGAAATAAGTAAAAAGTTAAAAAAGTTGAATCTCTTCAGCTATTTGCTAAAAATAATTAAATAAATTAAATGTAATAATTAAGTATAGAATGAATTAAATTTAAAGATTTAAAGAGTAGTTTATATATATATATGTTTATATTTAGTTTGTTTTGTTCAGAAAAATAAATGCCTAGGAACAATGCAATAACTTTAACCATGTCATGATGCTAACTTTTAGCCCTATAGCATTAAGGTGTGGACATTGCTTGGATTCTAAGCTTTGATACAAACTATTTTAATGTTGAATTATTCTGCTTGAAGCGTTCCTAACTGGACGTGTCAAATTTAATTGCATTACTAATTACGAAAAAAAAGTTTTACTTAATTGTACTTCACCATAGTCTTAAGTATCACAGGAGGAGCTTCGATTTAAAAAAATAAATACTGAATCTGTCCACTGGCAGAATAACAACGGGAAAGATCATAAATATATATATATATATATATATATAAACCAAAAAACAAACAGTGCAGCCACATCAGAGCCCATAAAAAGTTAAATAGCATTGATAGGCTATGAGTGATGTGACATTACAGCATCCGTCTCCGAGGGCTCTGCCCCTTCCTCCAGTCTCAGGAGGAGCCACAGCCACCACATCCTGCCTCTTCCTCTCTTCTCCTGCATTAATTTAATGCTCCGCCAGGATCATAAAGACCAAACAAGTGGAGAGATATCATTAAACCATTGGAATGTTATCTCATTTATCTAAACAAACTGATGCGATGAACCAGCCTAATTAAAAATAAAAAAAAATCTCGTCACCATAAACAAAGCTCCGCTGCACGAGCCTCCTGCCCTGCTCAAACAATGGGACACATTTATTTTATTAATCTAATGCATCGTGTATCATATCATTACAGTTCAATATATCTATCATTAATTTTATTCCCCTTCACTTAAAGCTTTTATTGGAATTACTTTGGTTATTAGTTGCTTCTAATGTATTGGTTACCTCTGAATCCGGCTGCTACAATCTCTCTTATCTCGCTGCATAAACCTGTGCATGTTATTCAAATTGCCTCATTTATTATGATAGCTTCCTCATGTAAATTGTGCTGACTGCTCGCCCTTGCACAGTCCTCATTAGACTAATGAAAACCTTCAAACGAAAAAACTAAACAACCTGCCAAATAAAGGTCTGGGGTTATTATGAAAATTACAACTGTGGGAGCCGGGAGAAGCTCTCTTCATTAATTCATGCTCAGCAAATTGGTAACTAATTTAGTTGCACTCCTCTGCATTAATGGGTTATTTTATGAAGAAAAAAAAAAAAAAAGGGAAAGAAATGTTTTCCACAGCCTGAGACCTCTGGTGCACACACTGGAGAGCCTAGAATTCTAATCAAGTCCAGTGACATATTAGGAATTGACAATCTGAAAGATAATAATAATAAACACACTGTGTGTGTGTGTGTGTGTGTGTGTGTGTGTGTGTGTGTGTGTGTGTGTGTGTGTGCTCGGGTCAACTATCTGGAATAGGCACTAACTGCCTGGTCATTTGCTTTCTGCTCAAATATTGCAAGGAAATTACAGTGCATTTGTGTTGATTATGTGAATATGGAGGAGGCACTTGAGTGGAGACGCAGGATCGCTGCTGCTGAGGAAACATTGGTTTGATTTACTGTGCTGATAGTTGATTAAACCTCTCTGTTTTTCCCTCTCCTGTTTACTAACAATGACGTTATTTTGGTTTTTTACACGAGCCAAATCTGCGGCTATCATTCAAAAGATATTTATTCATCTTCATCTTCCAGCTCACCTATTATTTTTATTGTGAGTTTTACCTGAAGAGAAGTAATAATAAGAAAAACTATAACAAATAAATAAAAGTAGATCTGTAGTAGTGTCTGACACTAGGACATTTAATTCCACATAATTGAATCACTGTTTTTTTTCCCATTATCATTATCATGAAGGAAAATATTTGATTATTCTTTATATGTCTGTATTATACGAATGTGATGGTAAAAAGAAAAATCTGCTTCCCATCAGAAAACCTGATTTGATCTGGTTTAACTCACTGCACATCAGCACATGGTTTGAATCCCACTGCTGCCACGATTCTTTTGCTTCCATAGCATAGCGGTTAGCACGCCTGCCTTACAAAGAGAGAGTCCTGGGTTACACTCAGAATATAAATTCTGGGAACTATCTGTCCTACTGGGCCACAAAGACAGAAACACAAATGGAAACAAAGACAAAGGCTAAATCTTTGGAGTGTTTCTTCAATTATATTTCCATGTGGACTTTTGATTTTCTGGTTTTAAATAAACCAGTAACAGCACAAAGAACATCCCTAACTGGAAATACTGTAAAACACACACATGCTGGGAAAGAGCCAGACGGTTTGTGACCCATAAATTCAGCTCATGATCCTGCTAATTATTACCATTCACTACTTCACACCCGGCGAGTGAAGGTCTAACACTGATCTTCACGTCAACCGTGCCAACGGGGAGCTTTCAGCCCAATGATTTCCACAGTGGTTTTAATATCATTATCGGCCTCAGCCCACCCTGTATCACCCAGTACACTGAGGCACAGCGCTGCCAAAACCAACAGAGAATACTCAAATCTATTATTTGCTCCGTTTTGTATTTAATCCGCCACGCTTAGTAGATTTCACTCTCTTTCATTTTCATTTTCCCATTCCGCACCAGAAAATCTATAATTGAATAAATCCAGCAATTAATAATAAAAACATTTATTCTGGGCTATTAATATTTTCAGCATATTTCTTCCTACAGTGGATCTGAGGTAGTAGGGATGTAACAAATGTGAGCCTTCAGCTTTGTGCATGTATTTCCCCCACACACATTTTTTTTTACCCAGGGCTCATCGAGAAGCTTTGATAAATGTTGAATGGTCCCTGTGGCTTGATATCTCTGAATGTGCTTTTTGAGATTTTTTTTATGTTCCTCTTACTGACAAATAGTTTTGTGACAAACTAGAAGATAAAAAAAAAAAAACACGTTGGAGAGTTTGATAAACTATTCTGAAGTTATAATGTTTAAAAAATACAGAAGTTAACTTTATTAGCATGTCTAAAAAGATTCACATTAACAGCTAATTCAGTCCTCCTATAGTGCTAAAACAATAAAAACAGAAAATTTAAATTCCAAATTTTAGAGTTTTAAATTGAAAAGTTACACGTATTAAAGTGGACAAATGCTGAAATTAGCTAATTGCTCGTGATCTTTTCCAAAGTGTAAATGCCCTAAGTATTAGTATTTGTCATTTCAAATTGACAGAAAACAATTTGCAAAACAAAATTTAAAAAGAGGAAAAATAATATGAGTAAAGTTATGGCAGTGAAGGCAAACATGTAGCCTGAATCTTTATCCTATAATGAGAAAATAAAACTAAATAATGGAGGCTAACCAAAACATTTGAATAAAGTGAGATAAAAGGCAATCCTAACCAGTGCAGTGCTGAGAAAATACAATACAACGTATCTATAGTTTTTGGCAAACTAAACCAGACTGACCTTTGTCAACATGCATCCTCTTGACTTCATGGCTCATGTCGTGGGCCAGATCTCCCTCTTTAGGACCAGGTGGGATGTTGGGGGACAGGCCGAGCAGAGCTTGGTTCATGGACAGGCCGTTGTGGTGGATAGCTGCTGAGAGACATTACAAAGAAGTGGTTAGACCCAGAAATGGACCACAGTCTGTCTGTTCGTGGTCTGTAGTCTTTGTGTACAGTTGTTGTACGTACGTATCCTGTCTGAGGAGCTTTCTGTGTGGGCGGGGGAGCTGGACACACTGCTGCTGCGGTGAGATGATGGGTGACTGCCGGGCCTCCTGTTGTCTTCCAAGGACGGGGCAGGAGAGGGACTGTCCGGCACGCGTTCCTGGAACCCCTACAACCACACACTCCATTATGAATATGAAGCGTTCCACAACACACTCTGCCTCCACTGTGTTCACAAATGTACCTTTATAACAGAGGTGACCATTCTGGAGGGCAGGCTCTGGCCTTGTGCAGCAGCAGCCATGTTTGCAATGGTGCTGAGGTGGTTCATCTGACTCATCGCCATGGTGACAGAGGCTGGGGGCAGGCTGACAGGGATCAGGGGGTGTGGCATCATCATGAAGGGGAGTTCCAGGCCTGAGATGAGGGAACAGGTTGTTGGTTACTCAATGATGCAGATTATGGGAGACGAGAGATGTTGACAGCGGGGAAACTTTTAAGTGTCTGTTTGAAAACTAGGTAATAACATATTTACACCAGTGAGAGCTAACCTTTAAAGTTAACATCCAAAAAGACAATGGCCACAACAGATGTTCAAACTTTTAATGTGCAAAGTTTAGAGGCTTAAAAAAAACAAAAACAATAACACTGAATCTAGCAATAAACCAGCCAATAGCATCAGCTAACTAGCCAAAAACCTTTAAATAAGACATGTACAAGCTAAACGTTATCTAGAACATGCCTAAATATTACTAGAAGGGAGAGCAGGAAAGTATTATATTTAGGTAAGTAAACAGTTACAAAGAAAGGTTGATGAAAAGATTTAGCTAGTTAGTTAGCTTGGTACCATTCTGCAAAGACAGCCAATTAATTAAAACTTGTATGTAATAAATTGTTTCTTAAAAAAATATTTTTAAAAATGATAAACTGCTGTCTCTCACAGGACAATAAATTTACCATCATTAGAGGCTGTAAATATTAGGTTTTTAAATCATGGGCCACCAAAACCTATACATGTGTCACGTTCAGGCCCCATGTCCCACTTTGAACATCCTTGAGCCTCACACTGGGATTCATTATGATCAGTTGTAATGATCTTTTAATGTTGTAACTGAACTGATTCTGGGTTTTCCTTATGTATGATGATACCATACACAGTAATGTTGTACAATGTGTGTTCATGATAAAATCTACTGCAGTGACAAAGTATACACACATTTAAAAGCACTTTACACAGCTGTTTAGTCAGGACCTGCTATTCTGTGATGAATGAAAAAAGGGGAACATTATGGAAATGGTCTCTATATTTACATATATTATGAGGAAAAATATAGTCACAGTAAAAACAAAGGGAATCATGAAAGCCTTTACCCAAATGACTCATTAGATGTGCTAATGACAAACAAGTAGCTTCAGACTACAGTATGGAAGTGACCTTAGGCTAATTAAAATCCAAAAAGCACTGGAAGGAGTCACTTCCAATGCTCCCAATAATGACTTTTTTTTATATTTTTGTAAATGCACAGAAATTATGATTCCATTAGAACATCAGAGCTATCTGGCAAATGTTTTAAATTATTCAATTTCCGTATGGCTCCGCGAGGCCTAATTGGGGGGAAAGTGAAGAGCTTTAGTCGTGTGAAAACCTGAAGAATGTCTAATAAAGACACAGTAGAAGGAAGGAAGTTACTGCTCTCTGCCTCTGAATGGCTTAATGAAAAACAAGCCAACTTTCAAAGGACATCTGACGCAGACAGAAGGTCAGGAGCTAGGTGTCTGTATGTACACCTCCACCGAGGCTCAGCACACACACACCCACACACACACACACACCACCTCCCTTTGCACCTCCCTGTCGACAGGGACTTTGAACTGCCACGATCAAAAGTGACTGGGAACAGTTTGGTCTCGTAAGATGCTTTCCACAAAGAAAAAAAAACCCATAGACACTATTGGATCTGATTGAGCTTCTGTTGATTTCCTTTCACACTCTCTTTCTCCCTCCCTTTCTCCCTCTCTCCCTCCCTCTCTCTCTCTGTCTCTCGTCCTTTCTTGGCAGCCTGATTCAAGGTAAAAAAGAAAGAGGAGGAAAGAGGAGGAAGGAGAGGGGTGAAAAGGAAGAAAACGATACGGCGCTACATAAAAAAGCTGATCTGCCAAACAACTCCACTCTTCTGACAAAACATCAGTAGCCAAAGGGCAAGGAGATCTGCATTGGCGATGCCTCTAAAGAGAAGGACACAAGGTTGAAAATGAAAGGACCGCAGAGAAGTACTCTCTCTTTTTTCTTCTTCTCTGTGTTGATTTCCATAAGAAAGATGGCACCACTGATTCCTCACTGGCGACTTTTCCCCAACAATATAGAGCAGGGGAGATGAAAGAGAGGCAGAAGCCACAGCAACGACTCCACCTCGTACCAGCGGCTCCAGAGCTGCTGCGGCTCCAGAGCTGCTGCAGCTCAGGCTGAATCAATTACTACTCAGCAGGCTGAGGTCAATTAAAAAACACCACCACCACGGGTCTGACTGTGGGGGTATTTACTAAAGGACAACATGAGGAAGTCCAGGCTACCCATCAGCCCTTCAAGGCCGATCAAACACCAGTGTGAAGAGACACATTCTCTGTCATGGGTGGGAAACTGAATGTCAGCTAATTTTACTGACAGTTGAGGTGAAAAGGATCTAAATAAAACAGTCCATTTTATAGTTCTCTCTCTTCAGTTGCTGTAATTTTGGTATGAAGTTCCAGAAAGGTCTTGTTCTTCTTGGGGAGATCTCAAAAGCTCAAAGTATTTACCACAGTTTCACCTGAATGATGACATGTCTTTACTGCACGTCATTCCTGTTGTTCTGACTCGTCCTCCATCACAGTAGAGTTTTGCCATGTGACAGACGGCCTTGTGAAAAAAACAACAAAAACTAAACACTGGACCTCTGTTCCCTCCACTGGGTATTAGTCTCGCTCTCACCGCCCGTTCAGCCCCTTTCATGTCACCCCATTTAAAAGTGCTGTTCCTCCCATAAAGGTCCATTCAGGCCTCTGCAGGGGAATGTGCCACAGAGCAACTAGAGTCCCACCAAATCCTCTTATTTGGAGCTGAATGAGAGCAGGTGAGGAGAGGATTGGTTCATTCAACCAACCTGGCATTTCTGGAAAACCAGTGAGAGTTTTAAAGAAAGCCAAAGGAGAGTGAAAGGTTTAGGAAAGAAAGAACCAAACTGGCCACTCTCAAAGTCATCCAGAAACAGCGGAGGGGTGGAGACCGAGAGAAACCAGGCTTCAGTCTAAGATTTAAGGTGTCTTTGAACTCCGAGCCAACACCATCTACACAGACCGAAAAGGGAAAAAAAAAAAAATCTTCTACCAAGGTTATAATTTACAAATGCTCTTTCTACCTTTTTTTTTGCCCTAAAAACTCATTTGGTTTTCATATTTATTGAAAATATAAAGTATATAAAAAAATTCTATTTTTAATATACTGTAAAAAATCTGCTTTTATCTTACAATCAAACACAATTATTAAATATTTTTTGAAAATATTTTTATATATTTAAAGTTAATTTTTATTAAATTGTTTTTTCTTTTAAATTATATTTTATCTTTTATCTCAAAATTATGATCCTTTGATTATTTATTTATTTCTCTTATTTTCCTCCCTTTTCACACACAGTTAACTGTCAATCATGTGGCCTTATTTATGAGCTAGTCAAAGGTGTTGGCTTCTACTTTTTCTTTTTACTTTTTCATATTTTTCTTCCTTTTCACTCTCAACATATGAACAGTCATTTATACATATATTCAGGCAGATAATTGAGAGTTTTCATTTCATTCTCTAAGATGTGGTTTTTCTGTTGATGAAATGGACCAAGACTGATTGCA